TTGTTGATCTCTACAACACAAAGATGGAAGTATCTCAAGTTATTTTTACTTCTTCAAAGGCTAGTGTACAAGTTTTTAACCTATTTCATTATGAGTGTGAACTGTGGAATTTCATCTGAATCTCTAGTTTGAATCAATTCATGTATTTCACAAAAGAAGCCTAATCATTATCTAATGGCAGAGTTATAGCTCCAGTGATTTATCAAAAGCCTCTAAATTGGCCAGCTTCTTCCCAAACATTTCCCAATAAAATACTCTTATACTAACATATACTCTCCCACTTTAAAAGTACCATTAGGGAAGAAAAAAATGTTTTTGCAAGAAAATATGATCTGCTAAATCTGAATTAACTGGTCTTACTCAAAGACTTTCCATTTCTTAGGATGTTGTAGGATAGACTACAGAACATGCTTCTGTACAGATTCACTCGTTAGAGATGTTTAAAGAACATAAACTCTTTCTTGTACCTTTAGAGGTAGTACCTTATAGTACCTTTCTTGTACCTTTAGAGAGCTCATTGTATGTCTGCAACCACATTTGAGAATAAAAGCTTAGATGCATCCTTCCCCCCAAAAAAAATCAGAAGGACAAAAAGAGAGAAAGGAAGAGCAAAACAAAAAAAAACCCACAAACAACCAAAGAGCACAAGGGAACAAGAAGTACTTCTGTTCTTCGGTTCTTGCAATGTTCTGCTGCCTTGAATTACTGCAGCTGGAAGAGCAGCCAGGGAGCCAGATGGTAATATTGATAACCCAGGGTCTGTTGCCAGCAGCCTCCTGCAGGTGCAGGAAGAGATTGGTCACAGGCTAATGCAGTCTATTCATTAATGTTGTTTTCCTGCACCTAACCCCAGTGACCTCTGAGTGGTGAACATCACGCTTGCCTTGGGAAGCTTGTTGACCCAAGAGTCAGGCTTTTGTGGCTTCAATCTTAACACTTTTGTTTGTGGTTGTCAGCCTAAACCACTTTAAAGGGCTATTCTCTACAGGCTTTTGAGCAAGCTGTGTGGCTTGCCATGGGTGTTGACACAGTCAAAGTGGAATTCATTTTTTTGCACTAATGCCAATTTGAAAAAGTCCCAGTTAATGATAGGTTAAAAGTCTTTGTTGGCTTTAAAGGTTACAGTCTCTGTACTTGAGCCTTCATCATATCATAGGAGCCCTAGATAATAGAGTTTGGAAGGCACTAAAGGACCCTCATCTCTCAAAAACAAGCATCTTGTGCTTTGGGTTTGGGGTTTTTTTGGAAACGTATCCAGCTCTGTCAGCATGAAGAGAGAGAACAGATCACTGTTCATGGAAACTTTGATTTCAGATCTTTAAAATGAACATGTTCAAAAATATTAACCAAAATTAAAAGTTAAAAACAAAAAGCATAAATAGGTAGATTATGAAGATTTCCAGTATAAATAGGAATTAAGACAGGGTCATACATCTGTGTTGTAAATATTTCTTATAGAGAAAAATAACATCAGAGTTTCTCATATACAAACCAAATTAAACTACTTCTAGAATACATACCCCTGTGTATATAAATTTTTCCATGAGTGCTACCTGTAGAAGGTTCCCAAAGTGTAAGTCATAGTACATCAAGACCTCTATGTTTCAGAGATATGGTGTTAAAGTATAGTGAAGTAAAAGCTTGAAAGTTGGTAATGAGTTAATTCTGTCGGCTTTATAAAATGCTTTGCAGCCTGCTTTCAGGTGGGTGCATGTACTTTAAGTAAATTACACTTCATGTTGCTTGAAAGTAATGAATGCTAATGATAGATAATGGTGTTTTGTTTCCAATTAGCACTGCCAAGAGAATCAGTGGTTTCTAGAGCTCATGATCACTGTATTTTCCAGGAACAGTCTGAGAACTATAAAATTATATAAACAAGTATTATTTATGCTGAATGCATTTGCTGATTTCTTCCTTCTCAGTTGGCCATAATGCAAATGGAACTACCTCTCTCTCTAGTTCAGTAATTTCAAAAAAAAGAACATCATGTTTGTAAAGCCTTAATCTATCACATATTTTTTATAAATGTCACCCATTGTTTATTTTGCTGTAAAACAGAGGAAAATGTCTACAACTAAATGCATATAATAGATTATAGTGACTATTCAGAGAGGTTTGAAATAAAGCAGATGAATGGATAAGCAGTCTAGCCCACAAAATATGATTTTAAGTCTGGTATTTCATAGTAAGAAGTAAGTTTTATTCACATATTCTTCAAAACACTTTTCAGTATGAGTTGGCAAGGAATTTTAAATGCCATTTTGGCTCAAATCTACGACAAAGGTGTTATATTCAGGGAAATAAAGTTGTAGGACTAAGATGACAATCATGTATTGTGCTATGAATTACATGTTTTCAGGAGTGTGTTAAGTATTATGCTCACAGGCATCAAATACCCAGGGTGTAACAAATGACTTCCTTTTTATAGTTGTAATACAGATTGTTTCCTATGTTATGATTTCTGTGTATTAATTTAGTATTCTGTTGATAATGTATTTAAGTTCAGAATGTTCACTGCAGGATTTTTAACTCACATCCTTGTTATCTCTGTGATTGTATGTTTCTTTCTCAAATAAAAACGTACGACACCAATAATGTAGCAATGAATCTTTTACCTGCTCTTGCAAGTCTTGTGTTCTGCTGGATGTTATGTTGGTGGGAAATAGCTCAAGGCCCTCATCAGTGATCACTGAAAGCAGGATTGCTGTTGGTAAGTTACAGGCCTTTGGATTGCTCCCCTTTGGAGGCAGCTGCTTAGGTTTGCAAAAACCTATCAGGAAGAAGTATTAGCATCTTATCTGCTGGCAGAAGATAGGAGTTCTTGTATTTCTTTTCTTTCAACATAACTCACTAGTCCAACACCCTCCTCTAGCCAGGAAAGCAGGCAATATGCCAAAATGCAGCTTCTAAAAGTAGTTTGTCATACAGCTGTCTGCCAGAGCTGGGTGGTTTGTCATGTGTCTGTTCTGAACAGTGCAAGTCATTTCTTACGTCTAAGCTTTGTAGCTATGACTGGATAAATGATTTTACCCTGATGCTGCAGTGCTTTGCTTCACTTACATAATCCTGTAATTTCATTTAATTGGCTACTAAAATAGTTGCAAAATAGAACAGAATTAATATTGTGCTCTACAACTAAAAGATGAGTTCTTCCTGTTTGTTTCTTGCACCATTTCAATAGGATAGTTTGTATATTTAGATAATTAGTTTTCAAGCAGCTGGATGGTTTCCATTGTCTGGGAAGTCTTGACATTGCTTGTGTCCTATAGAGCTTGATTTGGCATTGGGAAAAGTCTTCATTGAAGTGTCAACTTAATTTCATTCATTTCATTCATGTTATTCTTATGTCCACTTTCTGCAACTGCTTTAAGCAAATGAATTTCATCTCTCTGAGATACTGATGTCATTGTAATTCACTCACATGAATGACTTCTGACTAAACTACTGAATTAATGCACACAATTACAGTTTCATTTTCAAAAAACAAAAAAAAAAAAAAAAATCAATGAACATTTGTAGCCAAAAACTGAGAGCTATCCCTAGCCATTCAGGGAATGACATGACCCAAGTCAAAACAGCTTGACTGTCAGTGATCAGATGCATGCACTCTGCGTTCTCGAGTGAGATAGAGAATCAGTCTCAGAAATTATTCCAGTAATAGTTATGGATATCTGTTAAGTTCAAGAAATTAAAAATCTGATTACAGGCTGTTTGTGAGCAAAGTTAAAATTAGGTTAAGAAAGTAATTGTTACAGATTGCTTGTTTATCTCTACTGCACTTCTGAAATATTTCTACTTGCCATCCACTGTCAACCAAGCTTCTCTGTCAAGTGTAAACTAATATTTTTAAAACAATAATCCAATATGGAAAATAGCCTGAGCAATAATGTTATAATTATAGCAATATTGAGCTTCTTGCCTGCTTCTGTTCATTTTGCAAGAGTCTATCTCATGCAGTGTCCAGGGAAAAGAAGCAAAAGTAACAACAACTAAAAACTATCAAAAGAGAAAATGTTATATTTTCTGTTGGGTTCCTGTGGGGTTCATGAAGTTTGCAGATTTTTCTGGGCAAAGACTGATTCTTGTATGCTTACTTGTTATCTGAGAACAGAAGTAGCTTGATCTTGAATTTTCTACCAGGTACCAAAAACATAATGCAAACTATAAATAATAATAGTAGTGAAGCAAAAATGTGGATGATTTCCTTTCCTTTTAATTATGTCTCAGATGCTGAATTTTCTGGATCCTCACTCCATGTAATAGCTTGGAATTGCTGATTATCAGAATGTAACTGTTATCTGAAATATTTTGATAACATGTTAATATGACTTTGAAAACAGTGAAAGAGTGAGTTTGAGACTGTTAAGTGTGATTTTGCACTCCTAGACCCTAGTTTATTTCAATTTGTGTTTTATTGATCACTGTATAAAACTTTCCATAGGTGTCCAATAACTATGTAAGGAAAAAGACTGTGGAGAATCGAAATTCTCTCTACAGGCAGTGGGAACATGCTTCTTTAAGAAACCTGTCAGTGTTTTTGGCAAAGTTAAGTGGTTTACAGGTTCAACACCATACAATACAGTCAGCTTTGTGAAAACAAACCACACTGAGTTTGGTGACACATAAATGTTTAGAATTACAGGTAAATGAGGAAGAAACCCCTGTTGTTAGTTTAACAATAGTGAATGATACAGTGGTCTTTTTTCAGACCTCATTTTTGCAGATAGAATTTTTCTCAGTCTTTGTCACATCTTCAGGTTTACGTATTTAGAATCAAATTTGGGTTTTTATGCTGAATAGATAAGAAATGTTATGTACTGAATAGCTTTTATTGTCACTGATATCATTATCTCTCATATCTTTGAATATTCCCTATGCCTGAAAGTAGCTGGACTATGCTATCATGTGTTAAAATGGCTTTTATTTTGTGAGCTGTGTTTCTGTGTTGAGTTGGTTACCCATGATAATAGTGACATGGCTATCTGAATCTGTTACAGTGTGCCTGAATATTACGACTATGGTCACGGAACAAGTGAAGAGGCTTATGACAGCTACGGTAAGGTCTCTTCTGTCTTCTGCAAATGTGTGAAATCAAAGGAAAATATCTGTCACTGGCAATTCAGAAATTGCTTCCTTACACTTTCCTTTTTTTCTTTCATTTTACAAAGACCAAACAAAATAGATTTCTGTAACTTTAGGGTTAGTTTTGCCATAGGACCAGAAAATTGGATTGATGAATTTCAATCAAAATTACAAAGCCAGTTATTCACAGTCACAGGTCAGTTTAACAGCAACACAAAAGTTTCTATTGGTGTTTGAATATCTTTCACAGTGTTAAATTTCAATCTGCTTGATTTGCCAACAATACTATGCATCTGCTGTTGTCACGTGCATCGTTTCAACTAGCAAGATTTGTGAGATTTAGAAATATAGACTTAATCAAAGTGGAAAGAAGGAGAGGGTGCTGTATCACCATGGGAACCCCTCCTGCACCAAGATGAAGGAGCATCTCATGTCACACTAGGCAGTATGAGTAGAGGGAGGGCTGTAGTCTTTGCACTTCCCCACCGAGTCTGTCTGAGCTGGAGCAGCTCCACCTCATGGGTATGGGGGGCATGAAAGGAAGAGAAGTGAAAGGAAGAGAAGCTCCTATGAGCACAATCATTTTCCAGATGTTTGTTTGCTATTAGTGATATATTTCAATAACTGGAGTCTAGACCATGTTTTCCTATTCATAATTATCAGTACATTGTATCAGGTGGCACAGTGACTCTCACTCAGAGATTTTCACTGAAATAACAAGTCAGCTTAAAGAGTAACCCTAATATTCAGCAGAGCTTTCGTGCCTGATTTACTGCTTCTGAAGTATCCTAAGTCTACATAGTGACTTCCACAGCATTGTGAAAATGAGAGCTGATGGAAATGATGCTGCAAATGAAAGTGACACTAAGGGGTTATATAAGGGTTGCTGCTTGAAATAAATAATTTTATTCATGCAGCTGTGAAGCAAATGTCACTAATGCTAACTTGCAGTTTCCTTTGTATTGGTACAGAAATAGACATTAGTGAGATGTTGTCAAAATGATTGCATTGCATAATCAGAAATAACTTATTTTTTTGTACAATCAGTTCTCACAATATATTTGGATGATACAATGTGCAGTCAAGCACATTTTCAGTGCTAGGCAAGTAATAATAATAGCTAATCCATATCAGAGTGAGTGGTTCAGTTACCCTTTGTTTTGCTTCATTTTTGCACATACATTTTTAATAGCTGTAGTGGAAGGTCCTTCCTCCCATCTACAGATCCCCTCTCCACTGCTGTCCTGAATGCACTGCTAAGCTTTTAGGCAATGCAGAAAAAAATAGTCTGAGCTCAGCAGTAAGAATTACTCACTTTTAATTACACTTCACCATGCTGAATCTCCATGTGTTTGGGCAAGACATTTAAAGTAGTGTCACTTTCCTTCCAATCCCTCATTTGTAAAACTAGAAGAATATTACTTGTTTTCCCAGCAGGGATTTTGAATGGACTAATTAGCTAAGGCTTACAAAGTGTTCACAGAGTGGCATCATGACTAAGTTTATGCTCTGCATGAAGCTCCTTTTTTGTTTTCCATTCAGCAGCTGAAACAAGCCCAATATGCCTGGGTTTCCTTTGCTAGACTTAAAATACATGACTCATAACTGTGGACTTGCTTTGATTTTTGCTTGAACTATTTTCTGAGTTGGCATTTGCATACAAAGATCTGAGTGTTATCAATAACCTGGAATAAACTTAAATTGCAACTTTGATACTTCCTGATAGTAAATACATTTTTATATAACTGTTTACGCTACTCTTGGTTCACCTGCTTAGGAGATTAGTAAATTTGCCAATTTCATGCCTTGGAAACATGTGCAGAAACTTCTCTCATCCCCAAGTCACCACTGTTTATCTGAAGAGGTAATCTGAGTACACAGAACTATAGAGCTCTAGAATACATGCTTAACTTCTCAGTTTCTGAGTTCTTGCTGCATACACTGATGTTCTCTCTGTATCTGATCTATCACCCCTTCTCATCCTCACCTAACTTTACCCTAATTCTCTGTTTCCAGTTCTCTACTTTTTCAGGATGTTTTGTTTCAGGATGTTTTAATACCGTGGGATGGATTCAGGAGACTTGTTGTGAGTTTCCTGAACCCATCCCATTGTATTAAATCAGCTACCCCTTCATTTTTCACCATCCTGCAGAAATTAAGTTTTTCTTTCATTTGAATTCAATTTCACACCTTGTTTTGCCTTCCATAACAAGGCTATGTTCCTCTTTTACAATTCTTTCTGGCACACCTCTGTAATTCAAAATTCTCCTAAAGTCTGAATATGACCTCAGACAAATGGTAATTAAGTCTTGGTAATGGTAATGATAATTAAGTCTTGTTGTGAATTCTTAGGTGTTTTGTGCAACAACTTATCTTTTCTCCGTTGTTCTTTTCAATAACAATATCTGAATTATCAAAAATGTACTAGTTAGGCTTTCTTTTACTTTCTTCCATGCATCCTCTCTCTTCCAATTTACCTTTAGGGAGGACAGTTTTCAATCCTGAGAAGGTTTTTTTTTCATTTTTCATGAAGTAGATTCAATGAAATAAAAATGCTACTTCATACTTACAATCTTTTTAAAGTATAAAATAGAGTTCTCTGTATCTTCTTAAGTATAGAGCACAATAGTACTGCTAAATGAGCTGCCTGCTATGACTTTCCTTGCTGTCTCTACTCCTGAGAAGTGGCAGGTGGTTTATGTCTCATGGGTTCTTCTCTGCTCCTTTTAAAAGAACTTGTGGAGAATTCTGACTGGGGAAACTGTTTCCTCAGAAGATCATAAGATTTATGGATTTATAGATTGTTTTCACAGTATGGTTCCAAAAATTAGAGAGGTGTTTCAGAGCAGAGCCCACCTGAACACCATTTAATTCTCAGGAATTTCACATCTCTGATTAGATGGTAGTCTAAGGAGGGATCTAATTCACTTGTCATAAGCTGGGCAAGATGGATTCCTAAACACTGCTGTAAATCCATAACTTAACTGCCTTAACTCCTTGCTCAGTTTCTTTTGTGAGGGTTCGTAAGAATTCCATCTCCTCCAAATCCAGCCAAGGCGTCTCCCAAGACAATAGGAATATCAGGGATGTATGTAAAATCACACTTCTTTCCATGACTAAGGGATGTTCCATAAATGAAAATTTGCAGTACAGAACCCCCTCATGAAGTTAGACAAGCTGTGTTGTGATTTGACATGCTTGTCACCCAGTGGCTCAGAAGGATCAAAGTAGAGACACTTCAAAGCATTCCCTGTAGCAGTCTCTGAGCACATGGAAATACAGTACTCAGGAATTATGAGATTCCTACAAATTTTTTATAAAATCAGGATTATGCAGCTACTGCTAGAGGATTTTGATGATCGCTGTTCTAGGCTGCAGAATATAAATTTGGGACAAATGCCTGAAAATCTTGGGACTGTAGCCCTTATAGGCTTCTTCATGAGAGTTTTAAAGAAATATTTTTAGAAGTTTAAAAATAAAAGTAATTTAAAGTACTGTACAAATTTTCAAAAATGTAAAACATCCTCACCTCTAATGCCTCTAACAAACATTTATGATACTTCTGTGACTGAAAGTTTTGATACCTGCAGATAAGTCTAAACTAAGGTACAGTGTCATGTTAACTTGATGCTTATGTTTCAAGGGAGAAAGCATGAAATAGGATTAATTTATCAACAAAAGGTTTATATTCTTTGCTCTCATCATACATTAGTAATTTTGTGGTTTCCCTTCTGGCACTGTTGTCATCTGAAGAGATATCTAGTAAAGACGTGAATTTAATGATTTGTCTGACAAATTAATTAGCATAAAACATATACCAAAAGTTTGGTAACTAAGAACCTTTCCTGCTCATATGTAATGTTGTGCCCAACTCCAAAAGACTCCAAAACTCTCCTGGAAAGTGTAAATAAACTGTACATATAAAGCCCTTTGTTATCAATTAATGTTCTCATTTCTTTCTCCTTTTCCCTGTTTTTTGTTTTTTAGAGGAAGCATTATTCTTGATTCAAGAGCTGTGTTGTGTTAGGCCACATTAGAGAGATAACAGAGAAGAGTATATGACTTGCAGGCAAGGCAGAACCAAGAAGCTGTATTCATTACATCTGACCTGCTTTACTGTTTTTTCATCTGAATCCTGTTTTGCCCTTTTACCGATCAGAGCATTCCAAACTTTGTTTATCAGTGTCTCTTTCTGCCTTAGCCCTCCCAAAGGCTGGAGGCTCCAGCGGCGAGCTCTGCCAGTTGCTGCTGCCAAAGGTTCGAGAGGCTTCGTCCCTGCCTCCAAAGGGACACTGCCGCAGTAGTGACAGTGCCTCTTGTCAGGTGCCACAGTTCACAGCCTGGTGCATATCCTGCCTTGTGTATTACATGAAAATTATGGCCATTGTGTTTTTGTGCCAGGTCGTGAACCGCAGTATCTGAAAGACCAGTACTCTCTGACTTCTTGTGCTACTACTTAAAAAGCAGAAACCCTAGACAGAGAGTGAAAGGATAGGTTGAAGTCTATAACCTCCTAAACCACCACAATTAAATTAAGATAACACCATCTGCCAAAGGCTTTAGGCAGGAGTTAGAAAGTTTAATCTGTAGCTTGCCACCTACACAAAGAGGGGAGGCATAAATGAACTCCAGTCACATTACTGCTGCTTTTCAGGAGAAGCTTGCAAGGCTTTTACTGCGTGTTCTACCATTGCATTAAAAAACATTATTTAAATATTTTTTGTCTTCACCAAAAATTTCAACTGCTTGGATTTTCTTAAATGACCATTTTTTGATGCATATTCTACTCCAGTTTAGCATTAGGTACTTGTAAAGAATTGGGTACTTGGTTTTAGGATAATTCAATTTTTAATTAAAATTGGAGAGTGTAACTGTTTGGTGTAATTGCTTTTAATGTAAGACATCATTTAGGTTGTAAAATGCTGTCACAATGATTTAACTATTTCACAAATAATTCCCTGCCAGTTGCTCTGT